TCAACTTCATTCCAGATACAAGACTTTTATAACTTGAAACATTCATGCCGGAAGTGTTGATTTTGTAGATTTACAATTACAGTCTTTCATTTCACATAATTGAATTAGGTGACGCCTCTTACCCTCTCATACACACTGCTTTTTCTGATTTTATAAACATTTTTTGTTTCGTATATTGGTGTAAGACAGGATTTTTTTTTTCTGTATGTGGGAAGGTTGAAATTATATCTGTTGACTCGATGTTTGTTGTTTGTTGGGCTGTTTGTTCGGAACGGCGCAGTAACTGCAGATTCTGGAGTTCTGGTTGAAGTCAGGATGAAGGATTTTTATCAGTGTGTCGCTGGAAAACTCTGCCGCGCAGCTCGCAGGCCATGGCTCAGCTGGTGCTCCGAGAACCCAGGTACGAATACATCACACACACTCACACACACCGACACATCACACACACACACACACACACACACACACACACACACACACACACACCACACACAACCACACACAAACACACACAATTCAATAACACTGTGAGTGTCCACTGTTGCTGTTCATCAATAAAACCACACCTTGCTGTCATCACCTGCATCTCTATTTTCTTCCATGATATATTTCCTCTCTGATCTTGCTGATTCCACTTATGATCAGTTTTTTTCTTTTTCTTTCAGTGTGGGAGTCGTTTTATGGCTCCTGTTAATGAATTACTGCCTTCTTCATCTCTGTGTGAAAGCAAATTTAAAAGAGTGAATCTGATTTAGTACGTCTTTAAAGTCTTAACTTAAATTTAAATTTTCTGATTACGATTTAGTTGTCCAGGTTATATTTACAAATTATGGACTAGAATCCCTTGTTATAGAAATCATAACTGTGTCGTATTAGTTTACATAGTTATGAGTTATAGAAGTCATAGTTTACAATAAGTTGTGCAAATCTATGAAAAATTATGAATGATAAATAAATAAATGGACAAGTTACCAAAGTCATACTGGACGTGTCACAGAGAGAGTCATAATAACTTGTTACTTGCATAATAACTATGAAAAAAAGTGTGCTGTTTTTCTCTCTGGATGAGTTCAACTGGTTCTTTTTATAGGACATGTGACTGAAGCCCCACTGTTGACTCAGAACAAAGAGAATCTGAAATGTTTGTTTACAACTCTTCCATGAAGCAACAACGCAGTGATTTTTCTCATATTGAGGTTGTCAGTTAATTCAGATTTAAGTCAGTCAGACTAGCCACAGCTGATAGAGAGCAGCAGGAGTGACTGGCTCTGCAAGTCAACTAGTTTGTTAGTGTCGTCTGTGCGTTGCTTGTGTCTGGTTAAAACTCAGTTAGTTCATGTGGTCTGACAGCAGTAAACTACCATCTGACACGCACACACCAACGTGCACCGTGCGAACACACGACAAGCACCATGCCGCAACCACACCACACACACCACACACACCACAACACACACACACACACCACACGTGCACGTGCGAACACGGACAAGCACAACGGACAATGCTATGCAGCACGCGCCAACACACAGCACAATCACACACACACACACACACACACACACACACACACACACACACACATATACACTCACACTGTGATCTCCATTGGTCTCCCTCAGGACAGAGTTACTGTAAAATGCTGAATGGTCAAATACATTACTATCTGTACTCACACATGATTTACCAGAGGACCAACAACACAACAAAACAACAACAAAGCACTGCGAGGAGCAGTTTCAATGGCTCAGCCTCCATCAACCAATGTAACACAATGTAATACAAACTTAGACTGAATTTAAACAAAGTTTCCATCCACTGCTGTTATGTGAACATTAGCAGTGAGAGTTTGACTATTGGTTTCTTTTTTTTATTACACTACCATTATTAAGGGAAGTATGATGACCTATTACAATTTCAATTTCATGATCAATTCACATAATCTGTGGTAATCAGTAAATCAGAGAAACACAGCTGTCCAATCATCATGAAGCAAACAATGACATGGTAAAACAACAAGACTCAAGACAAGACAACAGTGGGAGAGGGAGTAAAGAGCGTGGGAAGAGGTTTTCTATCAGGACAGACCAACGGATTTCTTTAAACTTACAAGAGTCTGCTGTTATGTCAAAGGGCTCACAAGAAATGGTTAAAACTGACTCTGTAACAGAGCTGTTTAGCCTCTTGTACTAGCAAGTCAAGAAAGCAGATCATTGAGCAGCTAAAGCATCTGACATGTTCTTCAGGCGCTGGTAGAAACCAAACCAGAGCTAGAAGGAGAGGAGTTTTGGACACAGTCATAACTTTACATAATGATGCACTGCATTTGCTGGATGTGGACACAGGAATACAAGTGATGTTTTCAGAAATACATATATTAATAATAATGGTCTTTAGCTCAGTGTTTACCTCTGCTCTACTACATGTCTGTGGATACAGCAAGATGAAGGACTGAACACTGCACAGGTTTGTAGACAGCAGAGATCACAGCTAGAAAGTTTAAAAAATTAGGAGTATTTCTGGATTTCATGGATATGGACAACCCTAACCCCAGTAATTATGCACCCATGCTGCTGCTGTGTAGTTTTTTTTTGTGTGTGTAATTTATTAATTTTTTCCCATTTGAGCAGCAGTTTTTTCTCTGTGCTTACACAGTAACTGTTGTTTAACTTTGTTAACTTTGTGCCAAAAACAAAAAACAGTCAGAGAGCAACTGTTTCACATTCACATTTACTCATTTGGCAACCACTTCTATCCCGACCAACTGACAAGTGAGGGGCAACATGAAGCTTCAGAGCAGAGGGAGACCTTGCTCAAAAAGAGCAGAGGGAAAAAAAACATATGTGAGATGTTAAGACTCAGTGTTCTGATAAATGAAATACCTGGCCACTTGTATAAATACATGTTGGAGAGTACGCGAGTGAGAGAACAAAAAGATTGCATAATTGTGTGTGTGTGTGTGTGTGTGTGTGCGCGTGTGTGTGTGTTTATGTGTGTGTGTGTGTGTGTGTGTGTCCGTGTGTGTGTGTGTGTGACCGTGTGTGTGTGACCGTGTGTGTGTGTGCGTGTGTGAAGAGTCACTTAAGGATCAAGAGCCCTGGCCTTCTCAAGGGTAACAAGGTGGTATGCTCATAATCACACACACACACACACACACACACAGTCACAAACGCTATGATTTCTCGTGGGAATGTCTGATTGGCCGCTGTGAGGCCTGCTGGGAAGCTTGGTTCCCGTGGCGATAGTAACCAAGCGATAACACCAACCATCTGACCCTTTTAATGTCTGTGTGTGCTGCCATCTGTGCTGCTGGCTCAGGGGAGAATCAACACACTGAACAGTGATTAAAGCTGAGACAAAGAAAGAAAGAAAGCCAGAAAGAAAGACGGAGAGAAAGGTAAGGTCCATGACAAAGATGACGTACTTTATTGTCCCCGAGGTAAATTAGTCTCGGGCAATAGTGTAACTCATTCAGTCTGAACCACAAAAAACAACACAAACTGACAATAAACAAATAAATAAATACTGACAAATTAAAACATACATGATACATAAAAGTTGCATGTCTTGTAAGATGGCAGGTATTTTCATGTATTTTGTGAGTCAGTCACACAGTCAGCTACCTAGTTAGTTAGCTAAGAGGTCAGCTGGGTAGATAACTAGTATATGAAACTGATCTGAAACCTGCATCAGCTGTTTACATGAGCACACACATCCTATTTTCTGTCAGAATGATCCTGTTTCATAGTCAGGTTTTCTATAACAGGATCAGTCAGGATCCTACAGTTACTGCCAAAATAAAATACTGTGTGACTACAACTATGCTGAAAGTCGTTCGCCCTTTTTCATCCTCTGTCAGACTCACACACACACACACACACACACACACACACACACAGCTGCTGGTCCATTTAGATGCAGATGTGCTGACTAAAATGTTCTCCAGACTGGCTGAGCTGTTCACACTTAATATCTGTGTGTGTGTGTGTGTGTGTGTGTGTGTGTGTGTGTGTGTGTGTGTGTGTGTGTTGCGCGTGTGCTTGTCCGTGTTCGCACGTGCACGTGTGTGTGTGTGTGTGTGTTGCGCATGTGCTTGTCTGTGTTCGCACGTGCACGTGTGTGTGTGTGTCAGATGGTAGTTACTGCTGTCAGACCACATGACTAACTGAGTTTTAACCAGACACAAACAACCACACGACACAACAAACAGTGACTTTGCCAGAGCCAGTCAACTCCTGCTGCTCTCTCAGCTGTGGCATAGTCTGACTGACTGTAATCTGATTACTGACAAACTCAATATGAGAAAAATCACTGCCTTGTTGCTTCATGGAAGAGTTGTAAACCAAACATTCAAGATATCTCTTTGTTCTGAGTCAACAGTGGGGCTTCAGTCACATGTCTATAGAACCAGCTGAACTCATCAAAGAGAAAAACAGACACCTTTTTTTCATAGTTATTATGCAGTAACAAGTTATTATGATTTCTGTGACACGTCCAGTAATGACTTTGGTAACTTGTCATTTATTTATTTATCACTTCCATAATTTTTCAAGATTTGCACAACTTAAATTGTAACTATGACTTCTATAACTCATAACTATGTCAACTAATACACACAGTTATGATTTCTATAACAAGGGATTCTAGTTCCATAATTTGTAAATATAACCTGGACAACTAAATCGTAATCAGAATTTAAATTTAAGTTAAGACTTCTAAAGACGTCTAAATCAGATTCACTCTTTTAAATATTAGCTTCACACAAGATGAAGACAGGCAGTATTCATTAACAGGACCTAACGACTCCACACATGAAAGAAAAAGAATAAAACTGATCATAAAGTTGGAATCAGCAAGATCAGAGAGGAAATTATATCATGGAAGAAAATAAGATGACAGGTGATGACAGCAGGTGTGTTTATTGATGAACAGCAACAGGGACATCACATGTATCGATTGTGTGTGTGTGTGTGTGTGTGTGTGTGTGTGTGTATTCGTACCTGGTTCTCGGAGCACCAGCTGAGCCATGGCCTGCGAGCTGCCGGCAGAGTTTTCAGCGACACACTGATAAAATCCTTCATCTGACTTCACCAGACCCAGAATCTGCAGGTTACTGCCGTCCTGAACAACAGCAACAACACCAACAAACATCGAGTCAACAGATATATTTCAACCTTCCACATACAGAAAAAAAAAATCTGTCTTACACCAATATACAAACAAAAAATGTTTATAAAATCAGCAACAAAGCAGTGTGTATGAGAGGGAGAGGCGTCACTAATTCAATTAGTGAATGAAAACTGTAATTGTAATCCAAATCAACACTTCCGGCAGATGTTTCACATTAAAAGTCTGTATCTGGATGCAGTTGATAGCTCTTGTCCTCTCTGATGACAGCTCCTTTTATATTCTAATCTATGGTATTTGTTTGAGTTTCTTTTTTTCCCTTGGTTTATTTATTTATTTTCAAATATTTCTTTTTACTTTATCAGTGGCAGAATGGTGCAGTCATCTCAGTGTGACAAAGTGAGGGAGAACCAGAATGGCCATATTGTTTTCTTAATTTAATGCTAATGTTAATTGTTCTATACAGTGGCAGACAAGGGTGAATGTGCTGCAATTGCCCAAAACCCTTCCAATAGGAGAAGAAGCTGCAAATTCATAAACAATGCTAATTCAAAAACACATTTGAAAATACAAAACAAATATAACGGGAAAAGGCTGCAAACAAAAAAACGAGCTGCAGGAAGCCAAAACAAAGACATTAACAGCAAACACGCTGCAAATACAGCAACATTGCAACAACAAAAACACACAAACGCCCACAACAAATGCAACAGAAAATAGTGCTGTACATTCAGACAACACAAAAGAACTGCTGCAGGCCTCTAGGGGGAGTGCCAAGTGGAACACCTTGACTATAAGCTTGAGCTTATGGTCAAGGTGAGTGTTTTTGGCCATTGCAGTGCGTTTGCCCCTGTCGGCCATTGTAGTTTTACCATAGTTCCATCATTGACCAACAACTTGCAGACACATTATCCTGCATTTGCTTGTGTTTTGCATTTTGTTTGGTTACAGTTCACACACAGTCATTACTTCTGGTTAAAGTAAAACACACAGGTTTGTTAAGTCCCAAACACTGTATTTATACACTGTTTGACCTCATGTGATGTGACTGGGGTAGACCAAGTATGCTAAAGGAGGGAAAGTAAGTTAAGTGGGTGTTTTTTTGGTAAATATTGAGTGTGAATTTTTTAAGTTGCAAAGGAAGACTAATGATAGAACTAAAGGGTTTCTACAAGAAGGTTAATCAAAACAAAATACTCTGTCGTACACCTTTTTTGGGCAGGAAGAGGAGTACGGGGATCTGACGATTGGCCTTCAGTGAATGGAACGACAAGAACTGACTCAATCTGAACACCTCCAGGACCAAGGAGATGGTTATCGACTTTCGGAGGTCTAGGCCCTACTTTCAGCCAGTCAACATTTGAGGGAACGACATTGAGGTGATGCACACTTATAAGTACCAAGGTGTGCACCTGGACAGTAAACTGGACTGGTCCCTGAACATGGATGCCATGGAAGGGGCAGAGCCGGCTCTTTTTCTTCAGGAGGCTCAGGTCCTTTGATGTCTGCAATAAAATGCTGCACATTTTTTATCAGTCAGTGGTGGCCAAAGTACCTTTTTATGCTGTAGTCTGCTGGGGCAGCAGCATGTCTGACATGAACAAAAGAAGACTGGACAAGCTGGTCAAAAAAGCTGGGTTTGTGCTTGGCAGGAGTCTGGACTCACTCTGGATTGTTGTGGAGAGATGCAGGCAATGTTAGATGGAGGCCATCTTGGACAATACCAACCATCCTCTCCACAACATTCTGGCAGGACAGAGAAGCAGCTACAGGTGCAGCAAACGTCTCATCTCACTGTGCTGCAGAACAGAGAGGTTCAGGAGATCCTTTGTTCCCACTGCCATCAGGCTATAAAACACCTCAGCCAAAACTCAGCCAAAAGATGTGAACTAATTAATAATTAATAACTAAAGTATCTATTTATCTATATATCTATCTATCTATCTATGTAATTATGTGCCTGCAATGCAATGGCATTGAAGGCATATATTACATATATATATTATAGCCTGCATACTTATTAGTGTCAATGCTGAGGCATTCATACTAATATAGGATATCAAAATGTGCAGCTTTTTCAGGAGAAGAGTGCTATTATTTTTCTTATTTGTATTATTTATAGTTTTTGAAATATTAAGCTTTTCTGCTATTGTTGCCATTCCAATCCGTGAAAACTTCAGCCTCTTTGAACTTCAACTACTTCAGCATATTTTCAGCTACAGACTTCTTTCAAATTTTAAACTGTACAAAAGCCTTTCAGCTATTAAACTTGTATTCAATTGTTTGATATCTTAAACAATTTTTGATTTCTAACAGTTTTAGTTATTTTATGCTTTTCTCTGATCATTTTTGAGTTTATAATGGGTGTATATTGCACGGAATGTTCGGGGCTAGAGTGGATGACATCAACGCTAGAGTGGGAGAAGCTCTAGAACTCCTCTTAGAAGATTCTGTGTAACTCCTGTGTAAATCCTTCTGGCCACATATTTCAGTCTTCACACATCACTGCTTCCTAGGTTGTAGACTAATTTGTGCTGATTTGTAGAAAGTGTCTACCTAATCACAGAGACTTACAGAATTTGAACAGTGATGGTAGTACCCTCCACCTCTCCCTTTAACTGCAATACAAATTCAGGAGCTGATTTCCAGAGAAAAGCAGAAGTGACCCTCTTTTGTAACTCACTCCTGTTTCCACATTTTTGGCTCTAGAAACACCAAAGCCACATATTCTGTGCATGAAGGTCTTGTGTTGCTCATGGTCCGCTAATAGTTATGATAGGAGTTACTGTTTTTTCAGAAATAGCAGTCGTTTGAGAGGCTTGCCGAGCCAAAATCACACTCAGTTCTGTGTGAGCTGTGTCTTCCAGCAAGACATGTGTTCAACAGTTCGTTAAGAGACTCTTTGATCTCTGTGATGTTTACAAACACAGCCACACACGCACACACACACACACACACACACACACACACACACACACACACACACACACACACACACACACACACACAAACACACACACAGGCAAGTGCTACTAGCACAGTATCCAGTATCCTTATTGGCTAATTAGACTCATTAACTCTTACACTTATTACTCTCAAGTATGAGAGCATGTATAAGTCAAATCAGCATTGTGAATGTGTGTGTGCTTGTATGTGCATGTGGTTGTGTACAGTTGTGTATTGTACTTTATTTTAGTGGTTATACTGTGGGTTTGCTACCACCACCACTCCCCATTCTTATCACTGAAGGTAGGCTAAATAACGGAAACACCACTGTATAAGAAAAAACAAAACAATTTGATTGAATGTCAGATGGTCATATTAGCGCAATTAGAGACTACATGCCTGAAACATCTGATGACATGTGATTGACAGCAGTAACCGATAGAGCTCGTTGTTAACATTGGTTAGGTAAAGAAATTATATCAAATATCTCTCTTTGTAGTCTACAGAATTACTCATCAAGACCCATATGCTGTTAGGGGTACTGGAGGATTTAAAATACAAGTGTGATGTGATGATATGATTTTGAGGGAGACAGGGCTCAATCCCAGCTGGGTCTGATTTGGGTGTGAGGAGGCAGAGCTCAGATCCAGAGGGCTCCGTCCCAATTTAACCCCTGCACACACACACAGCCAGACCCACACACACACATTTTTTACTGTTGTCCATGTTGTTCTGTTCTAGAAGGATTAAATCACAGTAGCTTTATTGCAGATCAACTTCTGTTAGAGCATCATTGTGAGGTCACTTGGACCTGTCTTCACAGTTTCAAAGAGCTTTTTGAGGGATACCTGCAGTGACTGAGGTCAGAGTTAGGATAATTCTCTACAACATGAATGAAACTAAAAGTAACCTTGCGGTCAGCTGCGGCCTCTTTGTGGAGTTGCATGTTCTTCCTGTGTCTAGGTTTCCTCTGGTTTCCTTCCACACTTCAATGACATGCATGTTAATTAGCAGCTCAAAACAACCATAGGTATGAATATGCGTGTGAATGGTTGTCTGTCTCTATGTGTCAGATGACTGACTGTCCAGGGTGTACCCCACCTCTCACCCAGTGTCAGCTGCCATTGTCTTCAACCCTGCCCGTGAAACTCAGGTGTATTATTGCATTTTAGCAGTCACTAATTGCATTGTCAGTTTTGTCATTGTGCATTTATTTTTTTTACATACTGATTCATGGATTATTTATAATCAATGTTGCTTTTTTATTTTGGACTGTAAATATTGAAGTTAAAGAGAAAAGCTCAGACTTAGGTTTGTATTCTGTGATTCTGAATTTTGTGTTTGCTGGTTCTGTAAAAGTTTTTGTTGCAGGTCTTTCTTGGTCATGACTCATCTCTGTGGACTCTCTTCCTATGTTCCTCTAGATGAAACACCTGTAGTATAATTTTCACTCCAGTGACTGTTGGATCTCATGTTGACAAGCAGCTTAAACAGAGATAAAGATAAGTCAACAGAGATAAAAATAAATAAATAAATAAAAAACAGTAAAGCGGACAAGATTATAATTAATGATTTGATGAAAACAGTATTTGTGTTAAAAAGGCAAAGTCAGAGCTGCAGAGTGTGGGTATGTCATGACTGTGTTGTACTAAATGAAAAGAGAGCTGTTTATTATACTGAATCAAGACAACAGATAAACATGGAGGTGTTGAGGTGTTGTTAACAGCAACAGTAACAAAACAGGAAAAGATCAGAACACAGGGAGGCTTCTGACTAAAATATCATCAAACAGACTAAACAGGTCTCTGATATAACCATGTCTCAACTTCTGGCTGATGACCAGTGAGAATTGATGGCAATTTATGGTCTTGGCCAAACGACAATATGGAGGCATCTGATACAAAATCAAGATCTGAGTCAATTGAATTTTTGTTAATGTACACTATTTATATTTTATTGTCTTTTGCAGGAAAATATCTTCATGATACAACTTTATTTGGAAAGAAAACCTTTATTTTATTTTCAATATATTGATTTGATCTGATTTGATGTGGACTGATATTTTCAATACATTAATTCCAGATTAATTCCAGCTATAGATTTATTTTAGAGTTACAGTCTCCAGCTGTAGATTCAGAAATATGTATTCCACATTCTGATTAAACATATATTTCCACCATTCAGATGTATGGATGCAGTGTATATCTATAAATGTCTCTAGGTTGTATTTGACTCACCACTATCTGGAAGTAGTCGCTGGGGATGACTTCCTCTCCATTCTTCATCCAGCGTACCGTCGGTGGTGGGTTTCCTGTCACAGCACACTCCAGCTCGATGTCAGTGGACTCGTAGGCGTACGTGTTGGTTGGGTAGTTCAGAAACTGAGGAGGCACTGCAGAAATAAAAGAAGCAATACAACACATAAACAACAGAGGAGCATGTTTCCTTCACCACTGTGTTTCACATTACTGAGCTTCTGCGATGACCTCCGTTATTTACAAATTAATTAACACAATTACAAACTCCTCAGTTGCAGTGTACAGTTTACTGAGGAGCTGATGAGTTTGATCTCATTACCCTCCATGGATCATTACACATCCATCTCCTCGTGGTCATCTGCAAATTCATTTGACATTTTCAGGTATTTGTCTGTGGGTTGTTGCCAATTCTGCATTCAAACCTCAGTTTAAAGGTTAACACAGCAGCGACAGTGTACATCAGATTAACCAGGTAGTTTGGTTTTTGGTTGACCCTAACCCTAACCCTCATCATGTCAGGATGTGGAAGGTCACTGTGTCCATTTTCTCCTGATACAAAACAATATCTGCTGTATGTGACTGAAAAAAAAAAGATTTCAAAAGGACTGAAGAATAATTATTTCTACAAGTTTTAAACAGCCTTCCACATGTTGGTAACATTATGTTTACAGTGGGAAAAGTTATTACAAAGTTGTTTCATGCAGTCAAACCCACATAACTTTATTTAAATTTCTCGTGGAGATTTCAAAGATGCCAGACTGTCAGATTGAATTTTGAGAAAATGTGTCCAAACTGATGAACAAGACGTATAGAATACAGGGATTACACTGAGTGACAGAGATGTAGAACGAGTGAATTATTTCCAAGTTTAAAAAAAAAGAGCAGTGCCCTTTATTGCCCCAAAAGATGTTCATTTAGCATTTTCTCAGGAGAATATTAACTGTAAATATAAATATTACCAGAACTATTGAATCGGCACTATCTTCTTTTCAACAACACCAATAACCTTCAGCAATAAGATAAGGCAGCCTGTTTGTAACCTGAGAGGCAGCAAACGTCCACTCACTGCACCACTCTATAATGTACTATCTGAATGTGACTCAGATGAGTGGATCAAAATTTTCACAACTCAGATCTTTTCTCACCTGGACGATGGTGGCAAGAGGACAATGTCCAGAGAGAATTTAGTAAGGTAACCTATAACCTGGAGGGTGAGGGGTTCCACAGTAGAAACTGCCCTAACAAATGAAAACCTATAATCATAGTTGTACAGACACAAACTTCCACATAGTGTTCTCATTAACTTGGTTTCCAGCAGCAGAAGGCAGTTCTGTACATTAACATCTCCAGACATCAAACAGACAAAGTTAGCAGCTACCTTGTGAACACAGTGGAACATCCATCTGCTAATTTCTATTTGTCAGGATGTATCTGCATAGGTTTCAGCACATGCTTTCAGCAGGTTTCATGGCATGTTTTCACACAGTATATTTCTATATTCAGATATGGAATCATAGTCATTGCAGTCTTGTGTTCTAAATGTTGTTTGTTGTTTGTATGATTTTGTCTGGAGACGTACCATTAGGTTTCCAGGCAACCAGCAGAGACTGCAGGAAATACTACTTCCATCCAATAACAGACTAACACGTAACCCCCTTAAAAGCACACACATACACAAAAAAACTTCATACAATGTGTTTATTTCTTAGCTTTAGAGGTGCTATAGATTAGATTAAAGGTACTTTATTACCTTTGGACAGAGGGTTAGCTAACCAGCTTATTTAGCCGACAGATATTGATCTTCTCATCTAACTCTCATCAAGAAAAGCAATAAGCATAGTGTCCAAAACATTTCTTTGAACCTGAAAACTTATTTTTAAGCCCTAAAACTTAAAATCTCACACTCAAACTTTTGAGTGAAGCAGCAGAGTCTGGATTCAGTCTGATCAGTGCGAGCAGCTCAACCTGTTGGGATGTGGAGTCAAACATGTTCAGGTAAGTATAGTGTCAACAGGCTCACTAGATTATAAACAGATTGGCAGGAGGGCAAGGCGGCTGCCATGTTTCATCTCTGCTGTAGTTGAATGTGGTCTTGGAAAACACTGCGGTGGCTCATGACTGTGAGTGCAGAGATGTGAGACAGAAGCCATTTTGAGCCTGAACAGTGTCGAGGACGAAGCCTGAAGGGCCTCATGTAGCACGGAGCTGTCAGCGCTCCAAGACAACAAACATTCTGCCTGTCAGCAAACACACAAACATACACACACCCAGGAACATCATGTAGCTGGCACAGACAACAGAACACCACCCGTATATGTGATTGTTCAACATGTCTGAAAAAGAAGGAAGGGAAGATATGAAAGAAAAGCAAGAAGGAAGGGAGGGGTGGAAGAAAAAAAGGACAGAGAAAGAAAGAACACGGAGATGTTTAAAAGTTTGAAGGAAAAAGAAAGGAGGAAGGAAAAAGGAAACTTTTGCATGTGAAAAAGTGTAACAGAGATATTAAGCAAAGAGAAAACAGGTGGGTGTGTAAAGGAAGAAACGAAAGAGCACATATGAGAGAAAAAGACAGGAAGAGAGGAAAGGTAAAAAGTTAGTAGAGGAGGTGAGTTGTGTTTGCGTGCCTGCCATCGATACATCATTATGTGGAGGTGTAACTTTATCACTGCAGTAATGCTCTAATTAAGAGCTAACGATTTCCTTTAAACTCTGAGCTGCTGCAGCTTCACCACACCAACAACTGCACACTGATACACAAACACAGACCACTACACATGCCCAGGAATTAGTCAGAGACACTAAACACCGGAGACACAGGAGGATAGATCTAAACCAATCAGCCACCACAGCTGAGTGAGTCAGAGCTGAAGCACGATCAGCTGCACTTCCTCCAATGGCCACTAGGTGCTGCTATCTGCAGTCCACTGCAGACGTCAAAGATTTAACAGTTGTTTTTGTTTTCTGATTTCTTTCTGGAGCTGTCTCACCTCCACCCACCCTCAATTCTAACTTCCTTCACCCGTGACAGTGATGCCAGCTGTATCACAGTTCTCGTATTCATACACGTACAATAATCAATTTTAACAACTTCAAAATATGGGATAATTCTGACATGTAATTTTAGGATATAGTCCAACATGTGCTTTATAAAACAAAGGAACATACAGTGACTAACATGTTGTATCTCATTTATTTTAAATTACATTATTATAAAAAAAGTGACATACGTTGATGATTTTCTCATTCTTAAGCCTGCCAGCTCAGCATTGGTTGGTCAATTGTTTTCTAACTGGTGGAAACTATTTCAGCTGCGAAACAAAGCAGAGATGTGGGTGCCATTCAGAGCTCTTACAATGGGCAATACACTGAAGGTCTTACTTCAAAACTACCGCACAACCATCCATTGGTTCAGCAAACCAGGCACACTAGTTTTCCTCAACAATATGACCCCTGGGGGCTGCTTGGTTTGCTTTTGTACATAAGTTAGCTAAGTTGTGGAGGGGATAATATCTGAGTTGTGTGTTCTATGATTGTAATGGATGACCACCATCCTCATTGGCTCCTTTTCAGCATCAAAAAATGTAGAAGTCTGATTCTGCAGGGTGATCATGTGTTTACTCTGTGGCCTAATACAGATCATCTCTAAATTGTTCTAATCCCTAAACCCTTTGGCTGTTTGAAAAGTTTTCTCAACAGTTAGAATAAGTCGTCTGTTTCTTCCTGCTCAGCCTCATTACAATGGAAGACAACTGCTCACTAACTTATTAGCCCTTGTTGAGTGAATTCCCTCAGCGTCCATTGATTGTTTGGATTTTTTTTTTCAACAGACCTTTAAGTTTAACACTGATTACCTGCTCATCTGAGAAGACATGCTTACAAAAGGGTTTGTGTTTCCAGGTGGGTTCTTTGTGGTACCAATGACAACAGTTAATGTGTTTTTAACATGTATTCTACTTCCTCCTGGAAACAGCTGAGAGTTGCCATTCATATGGTAATTTGATGCATCAACAACCAGCTGACCTCTATCAGGCACATCACGTCTGACTCCACTTCGCCTCCATACTCACACGCACCTGGCTCGTCATTTACACCTGACACTATGACTGACATCATGTTTATAATGTTCAGGCACACACACACACACACACACGCGTGCACGCATGCACGCAGGCACACAGGCACGCACACCCACACACACACACACACACAAGGTATCAGTGATGCAGCCTCTCTACAGCTGCACCATAATAACTTTCACTCAGCATTCAAATGGAAATCTACTCCATCATTCATTTCAATGAACATCTGCTGTGTGCATGTGTGCGTGTGATATTAGTACCCAGTGAAGGACATTCACACAATCACACACACAGAGCTACTGCTTCAGATACACACACACAGAGACACACTCACACATCCTTGTTTTACGCACACACACACACACACACACAAACACACTCATTCTGAGTTTAACTCTTCGCATGAACAGAGACTCGTTAGCAGCCTCTTTTCAATCTGTGCTTTACAACCAATTACCTGTCATTACATCCAAAGAGACTCACTACACACACATACACACACCTCCTCATTCACACTGTGGACCTAATATCTGAAATATTGAGCTGGGATAACCCTAGTGACATCATTATGATCATAATCACAGTTATTTTTATCAGTCTTGAAAACATTATGCAACTCTTCTCACAGACTAAGTGATTTTCCTCAAGATGAACAAACTGATTGAAGACGAACAAACTGACTGAGTGCACCTTAATATATTGCATAGTATTAAATATTACGGCATATAAATATATAATGAAATCCATAATTAAATATATGAATTGTATATTTTTTATGTACAATACAAACGTAAAATGTTTAGAAATAGAAAATCCGGTCAAGGTATCAAATCAAGGTACAGCATAAGTAGGCCAGCACTCATTAATGTATGCAAAACCAAAAAATCTGCCATTTATATTCAAAATCTACTGTTTCCCCTTGTAACCCCTGGTTTCCCCTGACAACACAAATGCAGAAAGTTAAACTTCAGGTGTTTCATTCAAAACAGAAGTAGTGATCACATCATGTAAACTCGCTCCATGACATGTAGAAGTCTTGAGTGACAGTAATACAG